GTCCCCTTCTACATCTTCATCCTCATCCTCATCCTCTTCATCATCACACTCTTCCTCCTCACCATCCGCATCTTCCTCCTCCTCTGCAGCTTCTCCTTCTCCATCCTCCTCCTCTTCATCCACACCATCCACCTCAGCATCTGAGCCGGAGGCTTCTCCATCCTCTTGGTCACAGCCGTCCAGACAGGTCAGCCGAGGCAGAAGCTTGAAAACACCCTCTCGGTGGTCATTCAGGTCAGTGACCTCACAGTTACACAGATCCAGGCTTTTCAGACATTCCAACCTTTTCAAAGTTTCCAAGGTGCTGGTGTCTTTCAGTTTATTTCCACTTAAGTTAAGATGTTTGAGATTTGGAAGTTTTTCTGCTAACATGTCCAGAACGCCGAAGATTCTATTGTCACTGAGCTCAAGCTTTTTCAATTTAGGTAGTTTGGGGAGATGTGAGACTGAAATCCAGCCTACACTTATCAAACTGAGGAACTCTAAGTTCACAGATTCATCTGCCAGCCCTCAATTTTCCCGTCATTTGCTTTGCAATTGTCCAGGACAAGTTCTGGAACCGCGGCCAGGTCCGGTTCCTCGGCTCTAGGTGGATCCTCCTCTTCATTTCCACGATTCCCTCTTCCCCGCTCTTCAAACTTCACTTTCCGAGGCAGAGGCGGAGGCTCCCAGCCCGCGCAGCGAGAGCCGTCGGGAGGGGTCTGCTCGCGGCAGACCTTCCCTTCCCTTCCAGTGCCACCTCCTCAGTTCTCCATCCTTGCCGTGGTCCTCATTTCCGGCTCGGTTTTCTTTGGAGGTGCACACAAGGTGGCTTCATGTGTGAAGGGAAAGAAGAAGTGCTCAGGTAGGGAAGGGAGTGGGGGATCTTGTCCACTGAGGACTTTCAGGTCCCAGGGAGAACTTGCCCTACCTGGTTAATAGGAAGTACCATCCACACATGTGTGTTGCCCAGAGGGCATTTGGTCCAGTCCCCCTTCATCTCCTTTCTTCATTTTTCCAAGTCCTGATCTGGGACTTTACTCACAGTTCTGGAAACTTCCCTGTGGTGCAGGATTAGAAGATTCTTTTAGGCTTCTGACCTGACTCCTCCCTGGTCTCACATGATGCTTCTTCCCACAGGAGGACAAGGAGGAAGCTACACTCAGGCTGCAGGTAAGTGTGGATCAGGGGTTTGATCCCTGAGCCCCTGGGGACAGTGTAGATGGAGCCCATGGGGGAGTCACTCTCATCAGTTCCTCCCGTGGTCTCATCTCTGACCAAGTTTTGTTGTGTTCTCCCCCAGGCAGCCACAGTCCCAGTGCTCTGAAGTGTATCTCAGTCCCTATAAGTGAGACCCTGGAGGACTGCAGTGGAGGTGGGGGTTGAGGCAGAGAGGCTGGGACTAGGTGACGGGGATGCTTTCAGGAGGACATCTTGAGAATGCAGTGGACCATTGATAATGTTAACACGCAGGTAATTCACCTGAGTTTCTTCATGATTATTTTCTTTCACAGTGAGAGACAGCCTTGTGTTGGCCTGAGTGTTACAGGATTTCTTTTTGCCCACATTTTGTGCCTTTATGATGCCCTTGCTTAAACCTTCACACCTGCGAGAATGGCCCATATCCAGAGGACCAAAACAACAAGTACTGGCAAGGATGTGCAAAAAAGGGGACAGTCCTGCGTTATTTTTGGATAAAGACTGAGCCAGCCCTTCTGGAAACAGTACTGAGGTTTCTTATAAGGGTGAATGTGGTTCTGCCTTTGGACCCAGCAATTCTACAGAGAGCATCTACTCGCAGAGGATAAATACTCTCCTGTGACGGGACCTGCACTCCCGTCACCACTGCAGCACTATTTACAGTAGCCAAGCTATGGGAACCACCTACATGCCCCAGACAGGTGGGAAATTAAGAAGCAGCTGGGATTACACGTATACATATATGTACATATACTGGTGACTCCAAAGGAGAGGAACGTTGGGGTTTGGGGGAGGGAGCTGTCAGGGGTGAAGATGCCACCACATCCTAGCAGGGGCCAGGGTGGGGGAGGGGTCCTGCCCAGCTCTTTACACATCAGGCCAACCATGTGGTATTTCTAAACCTCCTCCTCTTCTTCAGGGCCAATGCTTTTTCAGTCCTGCTCAGAAGCTGTTTCTCCATGGAACTGTATTTACTGAGGTGTTGTTCTGACACTCTTTACTCTGTGTGCGATTTGAATTAATTTATTCTGGGGCTGGATGTTAATTCACTTCCCATCATCTTATGTTGTATATCCTGTCTCTCCTGTTACACACACGCATACACACACACACACTGGAAGGGGGCACATGCACGCACTCCCCTCTCCTTGGGAACCAGATACTCACTCAGCACTGGGGGTTACTCTGACTCTCTGTCTCTGGTTCCCCTCAGAGCCGCCCTCTCTGCAGTGTCTCTACTCAGCGGTGTCTTAGCAGCCCCAGGAGTCCCTAAACCTCCTGCCTCTGACCTTGTGGGAAAACAGCCCCTCACCCTGTATGATAGTGAGGAGGCGAAGGCAGAGTCCTGAGGTCAGTGACTGATGGAAGAGATAATTTACTTTTTTTTTCTTTTTCCCCTCGCTGTATTACTCAATTGAGATTAGCATTGGTTTACACACCGAAAGTGTTCAGAGACAAGGGTCACACCGCTTCAGATGTTTGTTACCACATCACACCCACCCTAAGGGCACCCATAGTTCTTCACCATAGTCCACTGGGCCCTCTTCCTACTTTGTTTCCTACTCTTACCCCAGCCCATAGCTTCAATTCTGCAGTCATATATAGAGAGTATGTTTTGGTTTAGTTTATGTTTTGGTTTAGTCTGTCCATGTTTTGTTTCTTTATATTCCAAATATGAATGAAATCATCCAGTATTTAACTTTTTCGCTTCAAACTTATTTCACTTAGCATAATCCCATCCATATCTATCCATGTTGTTGCAAATCCAATATTTCATCTTTTTCACAGCCAAGTAGTATTCCATTGTGTATATAGTTTGTGTTCTTTATCCCCTCATCTGTCATTCAGCACTTACGTTGTCTCCATAGCTTGAAATTGGTAGACAGTGCTGCAGTGACCATAGGAGGCGCATATTCCTCAGTATTAGTGTGTGTGTTTTTTTTAAAGATTTATTTATTTATTTATACAAGCACTAGGTACAGTAAGAAGCACGGAGGGTGAGAGAATTCACCAGAGCCAGAGCGGGGAGCAGAACAGGCAGACTGACGAAATACACTGCTGAGGGGAGCAGCAGGCGAGACAGGAGAGGTCTGTCGCGCCATGTGGGACCCTCGCCGGTAGCTGGGGAATGAACCAGTGCTGCAGAGGCCGCGGGCACGGGGAGGTCCCTCAGAATTAGTGTTTTTACCTTCTTTGGATAAATACCAAGGAATGGGATGCTTGACCATGTGACAGGTCCATTTTGAGGAACCTTCATATTCTTTTTTCCATAGGGGCAGGACCAATCTGCTATCCATAGAAAAGAAAGGTTCCAGGTTACCGCCCCACTCAAGGAAAGGTGGAGCTGAGCAGGGATGAGAAGCTAAAGAAGAGGAAGAAGATGTGGAGTAAGATAAGGAAAGAAGACTGGAGGAGGAGCATGGAGCAGGGAGACATGTGAAGAAGAAGCCAGGCTTGCTCCTCAGGCTTGGACTTGTGCCAGGGAGTTGAGGACATGGAAAGAGACACGTGAAATAGACAAAGACATGGGTGAGAGGCCCATGGGGAGGCTGACAATGGCAGCTGTTATCTTGATGTGGATTTTGATTTTGCTCTTTTCCTTTCAGACTTGCATGGCCCCTCCTGTCCTTTCCCATGGGTCTCTACCAGTAGCCTTGGTACCAGTAGCCTTAGCCTTGTGGCAGGTCTTCGGGCTTCAGTGGGCCTGCTTTGGGCCAAGCCTGTTTGGCTGGGCATTTACCCATGAGGGGACGGGTAGCTTTGGGTGCTTCACTTGGAAACTATTCTAATTGTATTCTTTCTCTTCTCTCTCTCTATTGCACACTGATTCTCTATTTTATACTAGTTGTATTAAAGTTCTTTTCTATTGAAGGTCTTACACTTCAGAGTATGTTTTGTCTTTATGCAGCTGATGGCAGATCCCATGTAGAGTGTGCAGTTTTGAGGATCCAGGGAACCCCTCATTCTGCCCACTAACAGGACCAGTCTCCATTCCCACCCACCATGTGCCAGAGTTCCTTTTCCTCCACATCCTTCAATGGGCCATTCTCACAGTGTGAGGTGGTAACTCATTGTGGTTTTAATTGGCATTTTCCTGACAGCACATGATGACAAACATTTATCCACACACCTATTGGCCACATGTGTGTCTTCTTTAGAAAAATACCTATTTAGCTCCTCTGCCCCTAGTTTGAGTTGTTTTCTTGTTTTGGAGTTCTTTGTAGATTTTGGATATTAACTCCTTGTTGGATTGATGATGTGCAAATAGTTTCTCCGATTTGATATTGTCTTTTCATTTTAACGATAGTTTCCTTCACTAATTAGAAGCTTTTTAGTCTGATATGATTCCATTAGTTTCTTTTAGCTTTTGTTTCCTTGGAGCACAGGAGACATTGGGGCAGTGAAAATACTCTGCATGATATTCTCATGATAGACACAGGTCATTAAATGTCCAACACCCCGAGAATGGACAACACCAGAGTGAACCCAAAGGAAAACCATGACTCTGCAACTACGACGTGCGGGTTCATCACTTGTAACCCACATGTCAGTCTGGTCTTAACACATGATTTGGTCATGATGTGTGAAGAGTTTTATAAGTTGAGGAATGAAGTGTAATTTACTTTAGAAAGCATATTTCATGCTCATACAAGGACATTTAAATAACACTCAAGGATATGCATAAGTCATTCCCCTCCACCCCCAACACCCCAATCGGCCATTATCTGCTCAAAACCAGTTAGCAATTTATCTTCTCTCTTCTAAAAAAAAACACACACACACACACACACACACACACACACATATATATATATATATATATATATATATATCTCCATGCTCCTGTCTGGGCAATAGTGTTTGCTTTCCCATCAGTAAAGGAGTTCAGGTCACAGTGTGGGAGGAAACATTTGCAAATCACAAATCTGATAAAGGACTGTATCTACAAATAATGCCTAAAACTCAATGATCAGAAAGAAATAACCCAATTTTAAAAAGGACAAAATAGTGTAATAAATAAATAGCACTTCCTCTATAAAAATGTACAAAACTTCCATACAAACAGCAACTGTAGTCATAGAAAAGTAAAAACGAACAAATGCTCAATATCACAGTTAAGAACAACAGTGACACCATCACCCTGCTGTCCAAGGTGTGCACAACAGGAGCCTCATCAGGTTCATTGTAAAAGATCCTTAGGGGCTGAGAGACATATCAGAGCCCTAGGCATTGTCGCTGCCTGGTTGAGAACAAAACAGAACCTGGTCAGAGATGAGACCACAGGAGGGAGTGATGAGGGTGACTCCCCCATGGAGTCCATCTACACTGTCCCCAGGGGCTCAGGGATCAAACATTTACCTGCAACCTGAGTGTAGCTTCCTCCTTGTCCTCCTGTGGGAAGAAACATCATGTGAGACCAGGGAGCAGTCAGGTCAGAAGACCTAAAGGAATCTTCTAATCCTGCAGAACAGGGAAGTTTCCAGAACTGTGAGTAAAGACCCAGGTCAGGACTGGGAAAAATGAGGAAAGGAAATGAGGGGGGACTGGACCAAATGCCCTCTGGGCAACACCCGTGTGTGTGGATGGTACTTCCCATTAACCAGGCAGGACAAGTTCTCCCTGGGACGTGAAAGCCCTCAGTGGACAAGATCACCCCACTTCCTTCCCTACCTGAGTTCTTCTTCCTCCACATCACAGCTGCAGCCACCGCAGCTCCAGTGAGCACAGCTCCAAGGAGAACCAGGCCAGCAATGATGCCCGAAGTAGGGATGAAGGACTGAGGAGGGGGCACTGGAAGGGAAGGGAAGATCATACCCTGAGCCCCAGACCTTATCCGGACCCTCTGAAGGGCTCCAGAAGGGCTCCTGATGGCCCTGAGAACAGCCTCAGTGCCCACATCCTCCTCCTCACCCCATCTCAGGACTTGGGGCTCCAGCAGCCCCTCATGCTGCACATGGCACGTGTATCTCTGCTCCTCTCCAAAAGGCACCACCAGAGCCGCCCACTTCTGGAAGGTTCCGTCTCCCCCAGGCCTGGTGTCCACCAGCTCCATCTCCTGGGTCAGGTCCTCCCCATCTCGCTGCCAGGTCAGGGTGATGTCCGCTGGGTAGAAGTCCAGAGCCCAGCACCTCAGGGTGACCTCATGCTCAGAGGTGGGGTGGTGGGTCATGCGTGTCTTTGGGGGATCTGAGGTGGTAAATCAGAAAATTCACTTTGTGTTTCCTCCATGGACACTGAAGAATCCTCATGAGACCATCCTCACAATAGACAAGACAACTGGTGTGGCAGGAAGAAGCATAAAATGTAAAAAAGAGGCTAATCTGGGGGGATCTGTGAGATTCTCCTATTCCTTAGAAAGTCCTAGAATGAGGATGAAAACCCAGGGTAGGATGAAGCAGAGGGAGTGGAACACAGACTTTTTATTCCTGACCTGGGTGGAAGGTGAATGAACAGAAAAGCAGGAATCACATAACTGAAAATGTTCTCAGACCAGAAACAAGACTGAGAGAGAAACTCGTGGTTCTCAAACAGGCCCCTGGTCAAAAGGACCCGGTGACGTGTGATGTCAGGGACTGTCTGTCTTTCTCAGGAGAGACTGGATCCCTTCACTGTCCTTCAGGAGAAGCAGGAGTCTCTGGGAGTCTCTCTAGGGCAGAACATGAAACCCAGGGGAGTCCCCCCTCTCGGGACTAGAGAGAGGACTCATTTCCCGCAGTGACTCCAGGCAGGGGAGGACTGGGAGGCCTCCAGGCCCCTCTTACCCGTGCGCTGCGGAGTCTCCTTCCCGTACTCCAGGAATGTGCACAGCCACCTCAAGCACTTGCCCTTCTCATAGTTCCTGAATTTCTCTGCCTCACCCTGGGTCTCCCACTGGCGCCGGGTGATCTGAGCGGCCGTGTCCGCCGCGGTCCAGGAGCGCAGGTCCCCGTTCAGGGCCAGGTAATCGGCGCCGTAGGCGAACCAACTGTACGCGCGGAGGAGGAGCCCGTCGGGCCCCACGTCGCTGCCACACATCCTCTGGAGGGTGTGAGAGCCTGTCCAGAATGAAATGGGGTGAAAGTCCCGCGGGCTGTTCCCGGGCAGGCTGCAGAGAAGCCTGGAGGGGGAGACCCTGAGCGACCCCCCGTCCGTGGGGATGGGGGTGCTGACCCGGCCCGCACCCGCGCCAGCTCACCGCTCTCGCTCTGGTTGTAGAGGCCGCGCAGGGAGTCCAGCTGCGCGCGGTACCACAGTGTGCTGTCCCTTAGGATCCGCGTCTCCTCGTCCCAGTCCTCCTGCTCCACCTGCTCCGCCTGCTCCGCCCAGGGCGCCCGGGGCTCTGCGCTCTGACCTGGGGAGTCGCTGTCGAACCGCGCGAACTGCGTGTCGTCCATGTAGCCCACGATAATGAAGCGGGGCTCCCCGAGGCCGGACCGGGACATCGCAGTGTGGAAAAACCTCCCGCCTGGGGGCGGGAGGGGAGACCAGGGCTATTCTTCTCCCCTTCGGGGGCTCGAGTCCCAGGGGGGCGCCCACGAGACAGAAAGTGGGTGAAAGACGAGTGAGACCGAAAAGCGGCTGCGGGACGAAAATAGCCGAGACTCGGGGGGCAAAAGGAGGCTGGGGTCTCGGGGGGACGGAAAGGGGCTAGGACAGGGCTGGGCCGACGTGGGGGGACAACTAGGGCGGCGGCGAGGTCGCGCCTTTCCCACGTCCCGCCCACGCCCTCGCTCCCGCCTCTGGTAGCGCCCTGTCCCCTCCCGACCCGCACTCACCCGCCCGGGTCTCCCTCGGGGCCGCGGCCACCGCGAGCAGGAGCAGGAGGGCTGCGCCCCCCATCCCCCAGGACGCGCCTCCACCCGGGCTGGGGAGACGGAGTCCCGGCGGGTGGGGAGGGCTTTGGAACAGGAGCCGCGGGGCTGCTGATTGGCTGCTCTGGAGACCTCCAGGCAATGGGGAGTGAGACCTGGGGTGAGTCACCAGTATCCAGGAAGGAGGACAAGCCCAGGCTGTGAGAAATGAAACTGGGGAGATGAGGAAGCCCCAACAGTCACCTTCCAGCCCCAGACAGCGCCCTGGGGACTGAGACCTTGAGAACCACCCCTCCACCCCTCCACCCCCCGCCCAGACATGCACGAAGACCTTTGTCACACTGTTGCCTCCCTAAATCCAGGCCCAAGAATTGGGTCAGCGTTTCTCAATTTTTTTTTTCTTTCTCTGCAGTCTCACAAATTATTACGGATCCCATGTATAACTTTTTTTTTTTAAAGATTCGTTCATTTATTTATACAAGCACTGGGTACAGTCAGAAGTGCGGGAGGATGAGAGAATTCACCAGAGCCAGAGCGGGGAGCAGAGCAGGCAGAAGGACCGAAGTACACTGCTGAGGGGAGTGGTCTGCGCCCCATGTGGGACCCTCCTCTGGTGGCCAGGAGCAGCCAGGGATCGAATTGGCTCTTCAGAGGCTGCCGGCAGCTTTGCAACCCAGTGCTCAACCGCTGCGCCACCAGGGAGGCCCTCCCATGTAAATTTTTTATGTGGGTTATAGCTTTAAATATTTACTTTACTAGAATAAAACCTTTCAAAATGATGTTATTACTTCTTTACTTTAGAATATTGATAACCAATGTATGCTAACAAAGCATTTTGTAAAGATTTATTTACCTATGCATAGAAGAGCTGGGGTGCAGGCCAGAGATGCTTGGGGTGAGAGGATTTACCAGAGACGGAGAGGGGAGCACATCAGGCAGATGTACTGAAACACACTGCTGAGGGGAGCAGCGGGCTAGACAGGAGAGGTCTGCTGCACTATGTGGGGTATCTCCCTGGCCAGGGATTGAACTCACGCTGCAGTGCCTGCAGGTAGCTTCATAGGTTGCCTCTTAACCCTTTGCACCACCAGGGAGGCCCTAACAAAGCATTTTTAAGAAAATAACTTTCTGTAAATATAAGGATAATTAAAAGAGGGGAACTTTCACATTTTATATTTATGCAAGTGTCATTTTTGTCTCATTAGAAGATCTTTTATTTTCAGTTTCTTCTACATTTAATGTTTTGTTTGAAATCTATGAAAAAATATACAATCTCATGGAAATATGTAGGGATAGTATTTTAATAACCTCTTCAGATTATGGATATTCAACTTTGTTACAACTTTCATACTAAATCATAACTTATAAGTAATATTTTCTCAAAGGTTATTTGCAAAGTGAAACCTGAAACAATGTCATTGAATATTTCCTATTGTTATATTAACTCCATACGTTCTCTTGTATATTAACGGATCTTGTACAATTGTATGATTTTTTTTTTAAAGTTACCTATTGTTTCACTATGTGTATATAGATATACAGTGTTAATTACACCGGGGTCAAGTTATCTAAAATCACATGTTTTGTTTTTTACCACAGATCCCAAAAGAAAAATTAGTCTACATACTGTAAGTTGTCAAGTATATAATAACAGGACTCAATTTTCCATAATTTTGGTTTTCTCTGGGAGTTTACATTTTATCAAGGCAACAAATGCCATCAGTTGATTTTTTGATTTTTTTAATTAATATTTATTTTATGTCAGTTGATTTCTTAAAGGGACAGACTCACATTCATTTTCAGGAAAGTGTATGCCAATTCAACTAATCTAAGTAACCATGGTTTTAGCTATTTATTCCTTCAATTAAAAATGCTATTGCCGGGCCTCCCCGGTGGCGCAGCGGTTGAACGCTGGGTTGTGAAGCTGCCTGCGGCCTCTGTGGCGCTGGTTCGATCCCCGGCTGCTCCCCGGCCACCGGAGGAGGGTCCCACATGGCTCGCAGACCTCTCCTGCCGCCCGCTGCTCCCCTCAGCAGTGGACTTGGGTCCTTCTGCCTGCTCTGTTCCCCGCTCTGGCTCTGGTGAATTCTCTCACCCTCCCGCACTTCTGACTGTACCCAGTGCTTGTATAAACAAACAAAAAAACAAACAAATAAAACATGCCTCTATTAAAAAAAAAATGCTATTGCCTAGGGCCTCCCTGGTGGCGCAGCGTTAAGAAGCTGCCTGCAGCCTCTGCAGCGGGTTTCCATCCCCGCCGGCAGGGCAAGGGTCCCAGATGGCACACAGACCTCTCCTGATGCCCAGCTGCTCCCCTCAGCAGTGTGTTTCGGCAGTCTGCCTGCTCTGCTCCCTGCTCTGGCTCTGGTGAATTCTCTCACCCTCCCATGCTTCTGACTGTACACAGTGCTTGTATAAATAAATAAATAAATCTTTAAAAAAAAAAAAGATATTGCCTAAAAGAAGAGGCTAATTCACTTCATTTTTCTCCCTGGGACACGGCCCTTTGGACTGTAGCAGACATGCCTTATGTGAACGTCCTTGTCATCGTTTCAGACCTTTAAAAAATGTGGATTTCAGGATGATAAATAGAAAATATGCTTTCGTGATTTAAACAGGACATTTTGAAGTGAAACTGGTTTGGTTTGGATTTTTTTTTTTTTTCTGTGAGAAAGTGGTGGTGAAGAATGACTACTACTGCAGTTGGTACTATAATTTCCATTCTTACTAAGTTCTACCTTAGCAAATGTCAAAATAATGAAAGGCAAATGGTGTCAAAGTGATGTTATAAAAATAGTTTTGTCCTCCTGGATCCTGTAAAAGGTTCTGGGTGATCTCAAGGGTTCCACAGACCTACTTTGGAAATGCTTTTCTCAGTGAACCAGGGGGAGTCTCCCAAGTGTTCTCTGCCTTTGTCTCTTATTGAGCTCCCAGAATCCATCTCCTTGGTTTGGATGTCCTATTTCCGAAGTTTTTCTTAGAGCTTTGCCCCTGGATGCCTGGAAGAGAACTCATTCCTCAGAGATGATGAGAGAGAGTCCTTGGTCTGAGAAGGGAGGTGGAGAGACAGGTTCTTCCCTTTGGAACTGAGACTGTTTGTGTCTGGAGGCACCAGACCCACTGATAATCTTTTTTGATTTTGTTTTTCACCTGCTTAATATGTATTTCCATCGAGGGACCTCACCTCATCTTTAAGAGAGATAATACTGGCCCCTTGATTTTACATGTGTTTAATGCATCTGACTTGATGCTCCCAAAGTGCGGCAGGCTGCGCCTCCCATGCTGTCTCTTGACATGGTCTGGGCATTGGGGGAGACTCCCTAGAAGCAGGGAGTTCCTGTGCTCCCCCAAAGAGGGAAAGTTGTACTTCCCAGAAGAGGGGAGTTCTTGCACTTCCCAAAGAAGATCTGAACTAGGGAGTCTCCATGGCAAAGCCTGCTAAAGCTCTCCTCTTTGTTCTTGGTTAATGCAGAAGTTAATTAGTAATTGGCATATGAAAACCCAATTCGGACCTAGACATTAATTGATTTGTTATTCTTACACCTGAATTAGTATCAAGAAAGTAAATAATGCAAAAGGTATAGCTAGGAAAGAAATGTTCAGCCCTGAGAACTATGGAGAACATGCTGCCCTGAACCAGCTGTGCTTGGAAACCATAGCCTAACCTGGGGGGTACCTGTTTGTGGTAACAATACATTTCCTGGTGTAGGCAAGAGGTCAATAGTTCGCAGGCCTTGTGGAGGTTAGGAATTTCTAGTTAAGAGTTAGACTTCAGTAGAACTTACATAGATTTGATAAGTTGTTTTAGACCACTTTGAAGTAATTAATATGTTAACCAAGTTAATTGAGTACTAGGAGATAGACTGATTTTAGTAATTGAATATAGAATAGGAATTTTACACCCATTTTTGTAATTGGGAAAGTTTAATTGTTGCCAAATGTTGTGCTGTCTTGTATGATTGATCATGCTAGTAAATGAGCTATACCTAGGAAACTAATTGTTCTTAGGTTACCAAAGAAATGACCTACAGATGTAAGGTCAAGGGAGTCTTTACATGATCATGAGAAAATATGTATTGATTGTCTTTGCTCTGCTTCAATGCTTACGCTGATGTATTCCCACCGCTTGCCTTAAGGTATAAATAAAGAACCACTGAGACCCTCAGTAGGAGATACTTGCATGAACTAAGGTGTCTGTGTCTACCTCACTTCTGCCTCGCGCCACTTCCCCTTAGCCCTCCGAGAAAGAGAAAAAACTTTCACCGACTCCATCCTCTCCTTTCTGAGATCCCTGACACGACTTCTAGCTGGAGCTGGTCTCCAGCACCAAAGCATGAAGAGCTGTGCTATCCAACAGAAAGTTCTGGAAGAAAAAAAATGTTCTATATTTGTACTGATCTATATGGTGCCTCTAACTATTGAACACTTGAAATTTGGCTCATAAGCTGAGATATTGCATATTTTACTATATATCATTTAAAATTAAAAAGCCATATGTGGCTAGTAGCTACCATATTGACAGTACATACTGAACTTTCAGTATCTGCCCCCCAATATTTGTTGTATAATAAAATTGTATAGTAAAATATAATGTATAATAAAATTACCTTCATGTGGAAGTCATGGATTTTTCTACACGGGTTT